ATTGTGAAAATATGTAATTTTATAGTTATTGATCCTTTTAAACATCTTCCTTAGTATTCTGTTTGTTAATGCAACGAGCAGTTCAGCCTGGCCCAGAAAGAGGCAACATCTTGGGGAGAGGCCTATATAGACTTTGCTGTGTTAAGGCCTGCCTTGAATTATTACAGGTAAATCCCGGAGTCAACTGAGAAGAGCTGCAGCCTCCCAAGTACAGCCTGGAAACCTCATATGCTGTTCCAATATCAGTGAGCTTACAACATATGGACCTACAATATATGTATTATCTATGTGCTTAGTATTTTTTCTGTTCTGTGCATTCTTGTAGATGCTGAAGGTATCTGTACTCAGTAATATCCTGAAGATTCAGTGCTATGAAGTAACAGCAACCAACCAGAAGTGAATGAGGATTTATATGAAAACCTCCATGTTTTGTTTATATAAAGAGTTTATTTTAAATGTTAAAGTGCATTGGTTGTATTGCCTCTCTTATGTCTGAGTTTAAGTACATGTGTAGTAACAGCAGTTACATATTCTTGATAACCATAGGTGGGAGTTCTGCTGTCAAAACCGACTGAACCTGCCCACTCTCCCTGCAGATATTAGGACCTTAGTGGGTTACAACTAGGTTGCTGAATTAGATGGAACACTTTTCAGGTCTAATTCAGTAGGGCTCTTCTATGGCCTTACCTACTTTACAGGGCGGTTATGAAGATAAAAGGGAGAAAGAACTGTGTATGCTACCTCAAGTTCCTTGAAGGGGAAGAGCAATAAATATATATTGGGGGATTAAAAACTTCCAAAATGATAAAAGCAGCACCAGTAGCTTTAAGCAACAGATTTCCTCAGTGTCTGTTTCTAGGCAACCACAGCATTCCAAAGCTTGGTTCTGTGAGTAAAAGGGAGAAGGGGGCAGGGCTCTTTTCAGACCAATTTTGGCCTTTGAGGGGGGACATCTTGGGGCCAGGCCTGACTAGGGTTGCCAGCTCCAGGGTGGGAAATTACTGGAGAGTTTGTAGTGGAGTGAGGAGGACAAACCTTTGTCCAGTGTTTAGTTGTGATTCTGGGATATCTCCAGGTCCCACCTGGAGGTTGGCAACCCTAGGCCTGGCAGCAATCTCTGGGTGACTGATACCACCCGACCTGCATCATTCAACTAGGCCTGGCTGTTTTCTACTGTTCAACAGCAGCTACCCTATGAAAGCCAGTGCGGTATAGCAGTTAGACCTTCAGAGTAGGATTCGGGAGAGCAAGATTCCAATCCCCATCTTGCTGTTCAAACTCACTCAATCTACTGAGCTGATTTGGTCCCCACTGTGGAGAAAGGTGGGATATGAATGTAGTAAATAATATAGCTCAAGATAGGAGGCAACTAGATGGTAGGTTGGTGAATGGTTGAGGAGACAATGAGGCAGAGGTAAAGGGAGAAAATATGGGGGTTGCCGGGGGGAGGGAAAGATGAAATACTGTGGGGAGGGGGATACAGGGGAAAGTGACAGTGAAGGAACCACAGGTTCTTGAGGGTCCCCTACCATGCAAGTGGCCCTGGCCCTGTGGCTTCCACCAAGCTGCTGGGCCCTGGTTTCTAGGTAGAGGCTGCCAGGGGTGGTGAGGGGGATAGCTTAAGACAAAGGGGCAGATAAAAGGCAGGATGGCTGTTGTATGGGAAAGAGATAGGGTTGCCAACTCCATGTTCGGAAATTCCTAGAGATTTTGGGGGTAGAGCCTGCAGATGGTGGGGTATGAGGAGGAGAGGGACCTCAGAAGGTTATCATGCCATAGACTCCATCCTCCAAAGCAGCCATTTCCTCCACAGGAACGAGGGTACTTGGTGAGAGAGGTGGTGTTTAGCTGTTCAGGGCAAAGATCTGGAAGACGGTTTCACTTCCATATGTATTACACACCTCATTATGTGAGATACCACACCTTTTGCGCCTATCTGTTTTGTGGCAGTGCATCAACTCATACTTAGTCCCTTCACAGATGCAAACATGTGGCATGGTTCAGACGTAACAACATACCATGGTTTGCTGCTGAGTGAACAAGCCTCAAAGAGCTTTAGGTTCTCCAACTACTCCAACCCCTTTCTTTCATATGCAATGATAAAATTAATTACTTTTGAATCTGAAAACCCAAACAGTGGCTTGCATTTGGTTTGATCTTGGTTTGTAAAGAAAATGCATAACATAGTTTGCCAGTCCCGTTGAAATGGCAAACTATAGTTTGTTGCAAACCTGAAAATAACAAAAGCCACATGAGATGATTCATATGAGCAAGCCTGAAGCACTCGCAAGATTTACTGCTACATCTGAACTGTGCCTCTGTTTTCCTTCACAGTGCCACCATCAAACTGGATGCAAACAAATTGTTTACGTAAGCTTTAAATCACTATATCTAAAAACTGAAATTTGTTTTTAAACTTTATTTACCACCTGATTAAAGCATGGAATACAACAGTATTATACATATTTTATGTAAAAAAACTTTACATCGCTTTTCATATTATATAATTATTCTGCTATTCTCTCAAAAATGTATACATCCATCGGGCAAGGAATGCTTTTCATTAACTTAATGATATTAAATGCACTTCATAATAGAAGATCTCTTAAGAAAAAGTAGCTCATAACTCATTTTAGGCATTATATAGATAAAACATACATTTGCACAAAGTATATTTTATTTAAAGTTGCAAAGATATTCTGGACAAAATGTCGAGACATTTAGGGAATTGCACCTCTCACAGATCACTATTTTGTTTGCTTCAAAGGCCATGGATCATCACATTGCATCATTTGGTTAATTCTAAAGTATTCAGGGGCAAAATTTTCCTGGCCACTTACAGTGGCTTACATTAACTTCAGCAGTGACCAAACTGCCTTTATAAAATGCAGCGTACAAACTATTTCACCTAATCTGACTCCATCCATGTTTATTAAAACTAAGCCAGCTTATGTGCAAATATGCAGGCTTAAGACATCTGTGGCCTGTATAGTCCTGGTGTGAAGTCATGTTACCAAATTTTTGCTAAAGGAACTATACTGGGCATTTGTTCCATGTTTTAGAATTTGCATAAACACTCTCTTCCAGATGGGGCGTAAAAGAAGATAAATGCTACCTGCTCCATTACATAATAATGCAGGAATCAGAATTAAAGTCATTTTAATGGCTTCTCTCATCAACAGGTTCACCCTCTTCTTTCTTACCTGTTTCATGTAGGTTGCTACTTCAGTACTGACAGAATGAAACATCTACATGTAGGTCTGCACATTTTGTAACACTGGATTTTACATACCCATTTGTAGCATGGCTTTCTGTAACCGGAACTTGTGAATATTTATTTAAGATATAAAAGAAAGTACAGTGGCCCACTGCAGTAATATTGCAATGATGGTTAAGAGATCAGGAACAGACTGTAGGTTTCTGTGCTCCTCTTTTCTCTGGTAGAAATTTCTTCCCTTTTCTGCTTCAATCATGCACTGCCACTAACAATGGTAGCATTAACTAGGGTACACATCTTCGATTCATGGTTTAAAGCAGATTTGCCAACCAGGGTTAGGAGAAAGCCTATTAATTTCCTCATGATTAACCACAGTGTAAATGCAGTCTTTAATCATGATCATACCTGTCAAGGAAGGAAAGAGAGAGAGGAGATGGCCCTAGAAAGGGCAAAAGGGCACCTGCGTTCCATGTGAGCTCATGGCTTGCTCTTGATCTCTTAGCCATGATTACATGGGCATTGTAAGGGCAGCAGATGGAATTTCTGGGGGAAATACATGTCATTGTTATGACTGTCCATGGAGCTTGGTGTTGCCAAAGAGAAAAGGGGGGGGGGAATAGAGTATACTGGAGAAACAGCCACTGCAAGAACACATTCAGACATTACATATACTACTGCATCACTCTCTACAAATCTAATACACACACAAACTCTCAAAAACATCTGGAATAAGGCTGTTATGGAGCCTCTTCCCATCCCATGATAACACACATGGTAATCTAGAATTTATTTTCCAAGTATCTTTAAAATTCAGCCATTTGAAGATGCAAGTGTTGACTGCTAAACATAGTTTCCTAAGGAAATAAAGTCATTTAACTCTCAGTCTTTCAAAAGGCTCTATGTTTTATGATCAGAATATTCTACATATAAGCAAACATCTCATATATCTATAAAGCTTCACAGTACTTTACGTTGCAAAGATTTGGAAGATACTGTTTGAATCCCATATGTATTGCACTTCTCATTCAAATTTTGAAAGATCAGTTGTAATGCTGCCATGGTTCCTAAAGTGAATCAAATGAATGCAAATTTGAATAGGTGATGTTTGACAAATAGGGATGGGACCAAGCTACATTCGTAATACACATTAATAGAAGAACTATAACAGTGAAAAATAAATAAATAGTCCAATTACAAGAAAAATGCAAAGCAAGATAAAGAATTTTTAAAAACCAATAAAAAAATAAATGATTTCTTGCAGTACTTTTTGAAATGCCTCTTTAAATTGCAAAACATAAGTCTTAATTGCTTTTCATGCAGAAGAAGGTTAAACTTTTTGCCTGTAACTAAGTGTTACCATGATCCTTTTCTTATAAATCAGCTGTAGTTTTGCCACCATAATTTACATGGGACAAAATGCTGCACTTGTCATGTAAAATTCTTTGGTAAAGAAATTAAAACTTAGAAACAGTTTTCACTCATCCTATTAATGACCAAAAACAAAAGAAATGTAAAACACAAACTGCTTGGTTATAAACAAAAATTAAGTTGACAGAAAGAGAGAGCACCAGTATATATCATAAAATAAAACCAACCAACAATTCTGGTCCTCCAGGATCAAACACCTTGGCCTCCAATGCTAAATTCATTTTAACTTGGAAGCCACCATCTTGAAAAGATTTTTGTTTAGAATTACAGTTCATGACACCCCCTCCCCCCCACTTTAATATTCTTACAGTTCTCATTTGCAGATATGAGAGGCATAAAATATAATTGATAATACTTTTGCAATTGCATTTTAATACACTTGGACAGAATCCATTTTCTTCTTCCCCTCTCATACAAATAATATACATGGGTGCTAGCCTGCCATACCTTACAAAACTACTATTGCCTTCAGTGGGTCAAGAATGCTAAAATGTGGCCTTACAAAAGAAAACAAAAAATCCTGCAGCCACAAAAGTCAGAACTGCATTGATAAAATTCCAAATTTACCTCCTATTGCCCACAGACGTTCGTTGCAAGTACATGTGCACTTATATTAATTAATCAGGTGGTCCCAAAAGGAACCAGATTTTTCTCCCTCATACCACCATTGATAATCAGTACTAACCAAGCAATCAAACAACCCTCTCTCTCAGTTCCACAGTAAAAATACAATATATCTTGACACACCTTAAAGATAGCCTGCGTCTACCCAAATGATAATCTAGGTACTATTCAAAAAAGGAAAAGGGTTGATCAACCAGTATAAATTTTAATTCATTCCATGTGCACTTCAGAGATTTAAAGTTTCATTTTACCATTTGCTCCATATTATTAAATATAAAAAAATCAGGACTTCCAAAACTCTCAACAGTCTTGCCCACTCAAATCATCAGAGATTTCAAACTGGATCAAGAGGCTGTGATAATGGTCTTGTGCTGGGTTTTTTTGGGGGGTGTCATATTTCCTTTGTAACAGTATCTCTTCACAAATGACTTCGCTGAAGTTGGAGACCACAGTGTAGATTCTTTCCCGGTATCAAGGTGTGGTGGAAAAAGAACTATCAGCTACAAGCCAATCCAATATTGGCTACCTGTGCACCACCATACTACATGTATTCTGTAACATACAGCTAGATGGCAATATAGATGGGTGCAGATAAAGACCGCTTGGGAGTTTTGCTGGCTCAGACGAGCCAAGGACCCTCTTGCTATGTGTTTACAGAAGAGACCATGCCAAACCATTTGAGAAAAGGGACCCAGTTTAAAATTGGATGCACAACAACGAGGAAAGGAGAAATATTCCAGCATGATTTTTCCAATGATCTTCACTCCCTTCTTAACTATTAATATATTTGCTAGCATCACAAGCCTATATGCATATATTAACTATTATCTGTGGGAATTAGTTTCCATTCATTAATCAATTCCAGCAGATTAAGGGGAATTCGCTGGAAGGCATTAAAAGAGGGAACCATTGCAAACAGATTTGAAGAGACAAAGCTTAGTGATAGGAATGACTTGACATTTACTGCATTAAATTGTGAAAATGCTAACAGCTATTTTTATAGGGCAGCCAGAATGACAAGGTTTCCTTCAGAAATACCAGCTTGATCAGTTTAACCCTGCGGCCCTCAAGGTTTCTCTTCTTTTTCTTCAGACAGACCTCCTAGTTATTCATTTCTCTCCTCCTGCCATCATTCTTTAAATAGAATTTGGGAAAGAGCAGCCACGGAGCTACCATGCAAGCGAATGGGTCCCAGTTGTCCGTAACTGTTCTTCGGGAATCCAGATTTTGAACACTACACCGATACGCAGGAAGAACTTCCGCAGCACGGCTCGGAGCTCTGGGATCAGGTCAAACTGCATGATTTCACATAGATAGGGGTAATATGTTGAAGCGTGAGCTTGAAACTTGGGAGGAAAAAGAAGAAAGGGGAACAATTAGTGACCTTACAAAAGCAAGAAAAAGGGAAAAGTTAACTTCTATTATCTTAGTTGTTACTTAAGATTGTGGCATAGCAATATTCTGGTATGCTGCACTGAACTGTCAACAAGTCTTGGGTCCATCACTAAGCCTATTCACTAGTTTCTTATGAGACCAAGATCCATCTAGTGCAGATCTGCTAACAGGCAACCTGTGAGCCAGATCTATCTCCTTTTCTTTATGTATTTACTTTATAGTCAGCCTTTCTTGCTGAGGCTCAAAGCAGATTACAAGATATAGAACAGTGCAGTCAGACCACTTAAGACAACCAATGAACAATGCAATTGGGCTAGAATTACAGAATAAGAGAATAATGTAAACAACAAAGATACAATATAAACAATAGGGAGTGGATCACAAACTACAGGACGGTGCTGTAGTTAGTAGTGCCTACAATAGTCATTCCATAGACTACAGTCTTCTCATTATAAGGCACCCTCGCTTTTGCATATTCTGTGGAATGACAGAGATGTAAGCTGCTTTTGTTAAAAACTTCCACTCCTGTCTTTGAGACGGGTATGAAGTGGCCAAAGCACCCCTGACTGCACACACTTCACACCTGTTGGCCATCCGATGGTCTAAAGAATGAATTTTCATATTATCTCAACATTTAGTTATATATGAATGGTTTAAGAACAGCTTCTCACAAGCAAGTGGCCATTTGCAACCTCTTAAAGAATTCAACCTTCACATCTCAATATATTTAATTTAGGGGTTGGTAATGGTGGCTCAGAGGTTAAGACGCTGAGTTGCAGACCGGAAGGCCGGTAGCTTGGCAGTTCGAGACCCAAGTGCCGCTGGACGGAGTGAGCTCCTGTCTGGCCCCAGCTCCTGTCAGCCTAGCAGTTCAAAAGCAAGAAATTGCAAGTAGATAAATAGGTACCACTGTGGTGGGAAGGTAACAGCATTCCGTCCACCTCGGCATCTAGTCATGTCAGCCACATGACCACGGAGAAGTCTTCAGACAGCGCTGGCTCTTAGACTTGGAAACGGAGATGAGCACTGGCCCCTAGAGCTGGATTCGGCTGGCTTTCGAGCAAGGGAAACCTTTAGCTAATGCAGTGTGGTTGTCATCATGAATCTCTTTTTATAGGAACAAAAGTGATTTATTTTGTTCAGCCTCACACTAGACCTTGGAAGCAGGCAACTGCTATTCCAACTTTTCACACAGAAAGTTAAAGGAAAAGACTGCCTGGGTTCCATGCAGTTGGGATGGAGTTGCCCTGGATCTACACTTGAGGCTCTAAATAGTCTGACCCAGGTAACTTTGATCAGTGCTGGTACAGTGACTGAATGGGTTGGCCAGCTTCTATAGTTTTGTGAGTTTCTCTTTGGGGCTTTGAGGAAATCCCAGCAGCCAGAAAGAGTCCTGAGCCTAACTTACCTCTTGTAGTGCTTTCTTGCACGTGATTCTGACTACGAGGCAGAAGGCTGCTTGTCTTGTATAACTTCATATACATCATATACTTCTAAACCCATTTAGAATCAGAAGCCACCACAGAGACTTTATAGTCATGTGAATTCCTTATTGGATCTCAGTTCTCAAGTGCAGGCCTCCCCAATGCCATTTTCCCAATCCATAACAGCCCCCGGGAGGAGCTGATATTTGCCCTACTGGTGTCTGTACATATACTGATGGGCTACACATGTGGTTGCCAGTGGCCCAAGTAACACCCCACGACTCCTGTTTCAGGTCACGAAAACGGCCCAGTGGAAAGCAAGAGCTCCCATCCCTTTCATGCTGCAGTCCCAATCCAGATCAGGCCCCCACACGCTTGAGAAATGAGTCCCCGTGGGAACTTATAGCTGATATCGGACTTTAACTCCCCATGGTGGTAATGTGTCAAAGGCTTCAACATCTTGGGACAGCTCCACAGCTCCCTCTTCCCAACCTCACTGTCGGGCTTATATTGCCTCAGGTTATCTTTCCTTTAATCTCCTTTTTGTTCTATCCAAAGCTTGCTCACTGGTCATGACATGTGGTTAATAAAAACTTAGCTCTTGGAACCCAAACCAATGTTAAAGTATGTGCAAGATTACTAAATTATAACAATTCTAAGCATATGAATTGCTTACTCATAGGCTGCCTGCACGGAATCTAGCCACTGCTAGTCCTCCATCTTTGATCTGTATACATACTCTTCTCTGTGCATTATGTGAAATTAGAATCCTTTTGTTTAATCCAAAGGTAATTAAAAAGCCAGGCGGTAAAATTATCTTGTATCTTGTCTGGTACTACCAGAAAGACTGAATGAACCAAGGAGAGGAGAGGAGAGGAGGGAGAGGAGTCTTTTGTACAATTTTGTCTCTTACCATTTCATTTCTTACCTTTTCATCACTGACTTTAAGTGTTTTCGTTAAAAGCAGCAATAAAAGATTAGTCCAGGCCTCTCTGTGGCTTTCTGAGTTCACAGTAATAAAATAGGCCAATGCTTCACTGCATACACTAGAGGAAGATTCACATAAAAAAGAAAAGTAAGCAAATAGCCTAGAAAGGTTTCCTACCTACCCTCCATTCCAATCAAGTGATGCATGTGGGTTTAGATCGATGCAGTTTAATGGAAAGAGGAAAACAACTCCCAACTGTTTTTTGTAAACATTCACTATTTAACATAATGTTGCCTTTTAAAAAATCCTACTGCTGAAGACTCTACTGAGATGCAAGTATTGTCACTGACTCAATAAAGGTTAGACAGTGTCATCGATGCAACGAACATGAAATTGAGTCAACTTCAGAGGACGGCGGAAGACAGGAGGGCCTGGCGGGAGATGATCCATGGGGTCGCGAAGAGTCGGACTCGACTGTGCGACTGAACAACAACAATAAAGGAGTGATTTTCTTCATCTGGCACACAAAAGGCTGTCATTGTTCTACTGAACAATGCAAGAAGTAATTATATCTGGGTTTTATTATTTTCCAAAGGAAATAGCCATTTTCTATTTCTTTATCCCAGGAGTTTTTGCTACAAATTGAAGCCCGTTTAGCATCTAGCGCCATCAAATCTAATTAACTCTGCAACATTTCCTACATTTAATTTTAGACTTGGGGCGTTTCCATCATGCCCTGAAATCTCTCTCTCTTCTTCCCTCCTTTTTCCTTTTGAACATCCAACCTGATGAATTCTGGAGAACCTTGCAAGCTTTCTCTCTAGTTGTGACATTTGAGGTTGGTTAATAAAAAGGCATTTTGTAGGGTCTGTTTTGGGTTTTTCCCCCCTCTAATGGACCAACATGGGGACCTGTGATCATTGTCCTACCTGGATAATTCTAACAGGCCAAAATTTCCCTTTTCCATCTCCAAACAACTTTGCCTATCACACTGGAAATTAAGCCTAACAGTGGCACACACTGAAATCAGGGTCGATGGCCTCTTGTAAGAGTAGTATGGGGGAACTAAACATCCTAAGCTATGAGCGCCTATGGCCACCCTGAACACGCTCAATCTCTTTTTTTTTGGTAAACAAATTTTATTTTTCTCAGGAATACAACATGTAAGATTAAATCATTTCATTCTATCAATTGTCTACCCCATTCCCAGTTCCTCCCCTCCCTCCAATGTCTTCCCACAATGCTTCCACCCCTGCTCCAAATTACTTCATATCATCAACAATATCAGTTTCTTCTCATACAATCTAAAGATAACATCATTTGACTTAATATTGATCTAAACATATTAAGTTTTGTTTCACATCCCAGTTCTTTTCCAGATATATTTTAAAGTCACTCCATTCTTGGGAACACGCTCAATCTCATCTGATCTCGGAAGCTAAGCAGGGTCGGGCCTGGTTAGTACTTGGATGGGATACCTATGTGCACACCCAAGCGTCACATCCACTAGCTTCAACAGAAGCGTTCAATCGGCATCCTTATCCCTTTCCATGTCTTGACTGTGTTGCTATAGTGAAATGAATAGAAGGGTCTAGAGAAAAGAAATCTGTATAGGCATTGGAATCCTGCAGCTGTAAGCAACCACCAGCTTGTATCCCAATGCCACAAGGGAGGAAATAATTCTTACTTCAGAAGTCTCTCTTGTATAGCATCCCAGGAATCTCTGCGGTTTTCATCAACATACATTCGGAAAAGGATTCTCAAGCAACAAGCCAGACTGCTGGTCTCTTGTTTTAAAAGATTGGGTTTCGATTTTCCCTTGAATCCTAGAAAAGCCAAGGACAGTACAAAGAATTAGCTGACAAAGGCATAATTAAGGCAAAACCAATTTCATATCTAAAAGAAGTAATAGCCTAGTTATGGAGCCCAAAGGGTCTGAGATCTGGTTCTTAAAGATTTAGAGGTTGACCTGTTATTGAAAGATCTAGCCACTATCAGCACTGCAAGGCTTAAAAACCAGGAGCCCTGGAAGTCAGACATCATGGCTTAGATCCTACAGCCAAGTTCCACACACGCTTCGCTCTGGCCACCTCGCAGTTCATTTCATTCTGCAGCGAATACTTCTGTTTGTGCAAGATCAGTGGTTTTCAGTAAGCCTGGCACAAATGGAAGTGGAACAGCAGTGGAAGCAAGCTGAGATGTGGCCAGACCAAAGCAAATGTGGGATGTAGACACAGGATCTGAATCACTAGGACAGCTGGTCATAGAGAGTAATTACAAAGCCTGAAAATCAATGAGCAGAACCACCATGGGGAAAAACTCTCATAGCCAAGACTCAAGAATTCAAGGTGATGGGGCTCAGTAGGTGGAAGAAGCTCAACATCAATAAATGGAATTTTCCAGGCTGCATACAGACCCATAACTTGGGAACATATGGCAGCCCAAATGCCCTTTTTAAACTGGAAAAGCCACTTTTGGGTGGGATGACTGATATAAGAAATGGTTGTAGCCAGTACAGGAGGAAGATGTCTAACTCTTTAGCAGTCCACAGCTCCTCTGACTCAAATCACCCGCAAGCATTTTTTCTACCCTGCAAAGTTTCAGGCAATTTGACAGGACAAATCCCATCGGTAGCCAGGAAAGTAAAGTGTCCCTGTCATTTTACTGCCTCACAGTTCTGGTCACTCCCTTCCTGAAGTGGCTTTTCCAGTTTAAAACACGTATGGGAAATGGGTAGTTGGCCCAAAGCTGGGAGTCACAAAGCTTGGTTCAGGGCTTAAATGAAAACTGTATATCCTGTAGATTACAGAGAAATATGCCTTGAGGGACAACCACATTCCCAAAGTCTACAAAACTGGCTCTACCACCTTAATGCTTCATTTCCCTGGAATCAAATCTGCAGAATTCTTCAGTGATGCAAGCAGTATGAGCAGCTATTGCATACAATGATCACTACACCAGTGATGTAAGTTTGCAGAACATTCTAAATTATATATTTAACAAGAAAACCAAAGAAATGATTCCATGTCATTAGATGAATATCCCCCGCCCCCCAGTTTAAAATTTCAATCGGTATAACCCATAAGATCATGATGCAGGGAAACTTGAAAGGCATTTTATATCCATTGTACTTGACACTTTTTATGTGCTTACCAGCTCTCCACAGGACAGTCCGTTGTTCATAATTTGAGTTAAAAGCTTTTGAGAATGAATGAGACTCTTGCAGACAGTCCAGCAACTTGAAAAGATGTTGCGAAGACATGTATTTGTACATTCCTTGATCTTCAGTGTCAATGTGGATGTCTGAGTCTAGGGTGTCCCTCTAAAGAAGAAAATCCAGTTACGGGAAGCCTTGTCTGAAAGCCTAAGTGTTCTACAATCCAAATGTTTTCCCCGGTTTGCACAGAGGTGGTCTTAGTGGGGCCCAAGCAAAACTTAAGGATGGGCAGCATGGGTGGGGGATCGGTTGTACGGTAATGGGAGTCACCACCACCCTACAGCTCATCACTCTCTCCCTATGCCTGAGTCTCAGGCAGCACAGGGGATCAGTGGTGACTACATGGTGGTGGTGGGGCTCACAGTATATTGGTGGGGCCCCAAGTGCAGGACCTGGGGCATCTGCCCTGTATTCCCCTGTATGAGACCACCAATTGTATTTGTAAATGCACTGTGAAAGCACTGGGAGCCCACACACAACCAGAATCAGAGAAGCACATCCTAAAGATTCTGTCTAGGTGATTCTGTGTGACACAATCAGTGAAAGTCCAGATGTTATGCTGAAGCACAATGGATTCAGAAACATGGTGCCTTGATCTGAATGTGCATTCTCTCCTCCATGCCATGAGAAGAGCAACACACACAGACACAAATAGCAGTTGCTACACTGAAGGAAAATATAGAACACAATCTCAGTCATCATTAATATTTTGTTAATTATAATATTTAGATTTACATTCTACTTTCACATACACTGGATTGGATCCAGCCAGCTTTTCCACTCAATCTCGCCCAATTCCCCTCCTTACCAAAGGTCCCTGTTCCATATGGCTTTTGTCCATGCAGGTCATATGATCTGCAGAATAGCCATTCTTGTGTTCAAAGGGGAACCCTTTCTTCCTTTTTCAAGAGCCAAAAACCTGTTTGGATCCAACCCGTTACTTGTTGTAATCTTTACGGCAACCATGCAAAGTCAGTCAGTATTATCACTCTCATTACTGTAGACCGGGCAATGAGGTCAAGAAAGGATTACATGCCTAAGTGTACCTAGTAGTTATATGGCAGAAGTGATATTTAAATCAGAGACTTTCTTCGTCTGTTAGCCATTATGCTACTCCCACTCCCAGTACAAATGTAGTTTTACCATGAGAGGCCTATCCATTTTAACAGCAAGTTTTGCAAATTTTTCCTCCAGCCTGGAAAAAAAAGGGCAAGTATCCGTTTCAGACTTATCCTTCCTAATCACTGTCTGTTCTGACTTTAGATTCAGGTGGGTAGCCATGTTGGTCTGAAGCAGAAGAACAAAGTTTGAGCCCAGTGGCACCTTTAAGACCAACAAAGTTTAATTCTGGGTATAAGCTTTCGTGTGCATGCAGAATTCAACTTTGTTGGTCTTAAAGGTGCCACTGGACTCAGACTTCGTTCTATTCTAACTTTAGTACAATTAGTAACTTGCAATACATAGTTTAAGAAAAACTTGCTTAGTTTTAGTTTAGTTTAGGAGCTGCGGTGGCTCAAGTGGTAAAGACGCTGAACTGCAGGCTGTGGAAGGTCAGTACTTCAGCAGTTCGAGACCCGGGTGCCGCATGATGGAGTGAGCTCCCGTCTCTAGTTCCAGCTCCTGCCAACCTAGCAGTTCGAAAGCAAGAAACTGCAAGTAGATAAATAGGTACCACTTCAGTGGGAAGGTAACAGCATTCCGTGCGCCTTGGTGTTTAGTCATGCCAGCCACATGACCACGGAAACGTCTTCAGACAGCGCTGGCTCTTCGGCTTTGAAACGGAGATGAGCACCGCAACCCTAGAGTTGGATTCGACTGGCTTTCGAGCAAGGGAACCTTTACCTTTACCTTTTAATACATAGTTTAAGAAAAACGTGCTTAGGTCAGTGGCTATGCCCTTCTGCACAGCTAGCGTGGAGTGCTACAACCATTAAGAGGAACTAAGTCATTGTTTCAGGGAGACCTCAAATACTAAACATAAGACCCTTCCTCTTTTCTTCCCATCAGCCATAAAAGGTAAAGGTAAAGGTTCCCTTGCTTGAAAGCCAGTCGAATCCGACTCTAGGGTTGCGGTGCTCATCTCCGTTTCAAAGCCGAAGAGCCAGCGCTGTCTGAAGACATTTCCGTGGTCATGTGGCCGGCATGACTAAACACCAAGGTGCACGGAACGCTGTTCCCATCGGCCATACCAGGAAGCAAATGCTAACACATCAGCAAACATACAAGATGTTGTGAACTAGTAATATATGAGAGGTTTCTCACCTGAGCAGCAGCCATATGCTCGGCATCTTCCTTCTTGCTAGTTGCTGGGTAAAATACTATGTTGTCAATGGTCTGAATCAGTTCCAGTTGCACAACACATTTGATGAGGAGGCTGGCAAAAAGTTTCTGGTCTGGGAAAATTATCAGTGCGCTGGCTTTTAGTCCAAAAGCAATTTCAGCTTGTTAACAAAGATCAGCAAATGTAGGCACATAAGCCACTTTGACCCCAAAGCCCCCAGACCATTTCTTTCACAAGCATGCAGTGTATGACATCCTCTACAAACAGCAATCTAATTCCCATCTAATGCCACCCTAAACGTCTACCCTACTCTTGGTGACAGTGTCATTTTTGTGAGCACTTCATGAAAGAATACATTCTCTCTTGTAGTTAAAAATAGCAAAACCCACCCCCAAACACAAAATTGCATGCCCTAGCTAGCAAGCTTTTTTTGTTATAGCTACCTCGGGGATTGTATTCCAAATCTCAGTTTTAGGGTGAATAAATCAGTTGACATTAATTGAGCTAAAAAAGAGGGAATTAGAAAACATGACTGGGCTATTGAATGTTTACTTACGAATCTACTTAAAGCATACGCACAGGGATTCAAGTGGGTGTGGACTGATACTATGGGCATGGATCCTATAAACCATGACCAGATCAGAGTCCACAGAAAGGATCTTCACCACCTTCCACTTCTCACTTGAGTCCCTCAAGGTCCAGCATCTAAAAGCCATGCCTGAGAATCATAGGGCCCTTCAAAATGAATTGGGATGTGGTGCAGGACGCAACTGACCCCCTTGCCCCCCAGAATGTGAGCTCTTGCTCTATTCATGAAGGGGCTCACACAAGAGGAGAGGGCAACTTCTCCCACTTCCCATCTCTCATTCTTAATCCCATACTATTCTAAATGTTCTCTTGACTACCAGGAGCAGCTTTTGGATGGACTTAGGGAGCGCTAGACGGAGACGGCAAAGTTCTCTTCTGTGAATCGTTCATAGGATTTGAGTCAAAGTTTCCAAGCCTCTTGTCCTGAGTTACAAATCAGACAACAAGTATCCTGGCAAGGTGGCATTACAGTGGGTGCCGGGAGCTGAGTATGTGAAGTGTACGTATGTACTTTCAAAGGCCAGGAGAGCTCCATAGCATCATGGTGTAGGCCACTAGGACCTCTTCTTAGGTCACTAGAGTGGGGAAGCCTAAATGAAGATCGAGTCATTTTCACAAATGCAGGTGGTGAGGAAGCTGAAGTGCAGACTTACTTGAATAAGGGCCACTTTTCCAACTTTCGTCTGTGGGATTCGAAAATTGGCTCTGTCCTCTTTCGGAAGCATTTTTATCAATACTGCTTAAAGACTGGCGATCCAGGTCCACATCCTAGAAATAAACAGAATCTACATTTATGTTTGTTTCATATATTAATTACAACACCTTGTTTCTTTAGTCACTATACAAATTACTTCTACTACCATTAATTTGAAGGGTTTTTTAAATCTTTTCCTTTAAGACTTTACAATGATGATAGATACCCATGAATAGAGGAATTCTATTAATACTTCTATCCTTAACTTTTCCTAGTCACAGAGGTATTTATTTTGCACTCTTTTCCCCAGTGGGGATAAAGTCAGAGCACTTACCAAGTGCTTTTCAGATGAATA